CCCCAAACCCCCCCCCCCCCCCCTTGTCTACGCCACTGCTCCCTCCCAAATATGTTTCTATTTTACTTATTCTGTCTATTTATTAATTCTATTTATGTTTTTCTTTTAATTCAAACGACTTTTTCAGGAAATTATTATTTTTTCTTATATATTTTTGTCTTGACTAAAAATATAACTAATAAATAAAATTTTATTTTTAATATTTCATATTTTTAACTTTCTAGGCGCCACTGTTATATTAATTTCTTTTTGTTTCTCTTAAAATAAAAGTTTTTCTAATATTGGGCGCCATCTATCTCTCTTTTCTTAACATTTAAATTTTCTCTTTTTTGCTTTTTGGGAATGTCTTATACAACTTGTTAATAATATTTGTATTTATTTATTTAGAGCTTAATATCATTTATAATTTTGGTTATTGTAAAGTGATTAGGTTATCTCACCCTGAATTTTCCCCCCTTATTATTGTTTTACTTATTTATTTTTATTAATCATTTCCTTTTCCATAGTCTTCTATTAAACAAATTTTTTGTAAACTTTTACTTTTTATACGCAAGCTGTATTTATTTCCCTTCAAATTTTAAATCTTTTTCTATTATAATGTCCATGTCAACTCGGTTTCCAAATGTCTTGTGGTTTTTTAAGTGAACCAAAAAAAATTTTTTTTTTCCATGCTACAGGATGTGATAGCTATAGTTCAGTAACCCTTTAATTTCTGTGGTCTTAGTTTTTTGGGTAGTTACTTAGGTAGGATTTGTTCCATCCCACTGCAGCAGTTCAGCACTCCAATATTTTATTGAAAGAGGGCAAATAGGTAGCGAGATATTGTTATTTGGTTTTTTTGCTGTGACATTATCTAACCCCGGAGCCTTGTTTTCCCTTAGTTTTTGACCACTTGTTATTTCATTTATGGAGAAACCAAACGACAGGGGGGGGGGCAAGGTTTGTAATTATGTTTGTTGGTAGAGTCTTTCCGTGAGTGATAGACTATCATATAACAATCAAGCCATAATGCCTTTTGTTAATCCTGGCCAACAATTACTTTTCTATTCCCTAGAACTTACGGAGCTGGTTCCTATTTCTGCGTCATAGTTCCTTTCTCTCATATCTTTAAATATCAAAGACCTTTTCGCTATATAATCTATCTATCACTCCGTAGAGTATTTTGTTTCTCTAGAAAAGAGAGAAAAAAAATTTTATTGTGTGATGTTCGTTGTGGGATAGTCATAAACTTATTACTGACTAGTTTTTGCCTATTCACTGGAATTTTCACCTATTTAAATAATTTGCGGTAAACCCATTAGCTTTTTCTTATTTTCATGAATAAATCCTAATTTCAATTGATATGAACACATTCTCAATTATTGATAGTAATTATCAAGGTTTACATTAAAGATGTTAACCTTAAACTTAGCCACCACCCACCCTTAAAATAATTAAATTATTTTTGCAGTTCTTCGGTATAGGCTTTTGTTTTGCCCATTTCTTTTTGTCTATTAGCTTATAGGCGTTTAAGCAACAGTTCTCGGACTGTTGCGCGTGCAAGTGTCCACAAACGTGTGAAGATCTCCTCATTTTTTTCCCCTTAATTAACTATCCAGTTTGATAGATTTTTGAGGAAAACCTAGCGTAGCTCTGTTGTATCCACAACCAGAGGGCGAAAACGCTTTTATCACGTATCACGTAACTTAGCTTAATAGTTTCATTTAAATTTTTTAATAGTTTTTTTATTTATAAAGAATAAATTTATTGTATTTTTAGTGTAAAATATTATGTATATATATTTATTAAATAAAAAATTTGTTAAATCTTGTCTAACTCCCTGCCAACCTTAACAATTTAATAAGACAAGAAATAGAAATATTTAAATATAATTACTATTCATTTTTAGGAACTCAATTTTGACTTTCGTAATCCCCCCCCCCCCACACTTTTTAACATAATTTATTGATTTTTTTAAATAATGTATAGTCTTTAGTTCTTAAAATGTAACTTTGAAATAAATTATAAATATAAAGATATACAGTCAAAACCGTTTAATTGCATATCGCTTAAGTGCAAAAACTTTTAAATGCGAAAAAACCCCGCGATTTTGATAATAATTACTATGGTATAATGTTAAATTACATTTATATTTGCGAATCGGTTAATTGCGAAATATCGGATAATTGCAAAACTTTTCAGGTCCCATTTATATAACAATAACGTTAATTTAATCGGATAAATGAAAAAATAAAAAAAATTTATCGAAAAAAATTATTCATCATTTTTTTTATTTAACCTTTTTCCATTCATTCATTACCACGCCAGAAATTAATATAAAAATGGTAAAAAAATCATTCCAAACATTAACCCTGAAGCATAAAAAAGAAATAATTGATAAATTAAACACTACATCAAAAACACATTTAGCATCAAATTACAATTGCCACGTCTCGACAATCTACCGTTTAATAGCGAATAAAGAAAATATATGCTCACAATTTCTAAGGAATAAACCTCCTACAACTAAAAGAGTTAGAATGAGTTGTTACCGACAGAAGCAGCTTTATTGGTTTGGTTTACCCAAATGCGAAGTAAAAATTGCAATCTAAATGGGCCAGTGATGTTAGAAAAAGCTATGTTTTTTAGCCAAACATTCAATGAAGGTTATTATAAGTTTTTATAATATATATATATAAATTATAGGCATTCCTACTAGCAGCTGGTTGCAGAGATTTAGGAAAAGACAGAATATAAATTTTCATAATGTTTGCAATGAAAAGGGGAGTGCAGATATTATTAATGCAAATGAATGGAGCAGAAATAAACTCCCATCTCTGATTAAAGATTATCAAAGGAGTAATATTTACAATTGTGATGAGACAGGACTATACTACCGAGTATTACCAAAGGGTACAATGGAATTTAGTGGAACTCAACCACTGGGCTTCAAACCAGACAAGGAAAAGGCCACAGTTCTATTTATCATAAATGGGGATGGATCTGATAAAAAGTTATATGTTGTAGGGAAATTTAAAAACCCTAGGTGCTTTAAAAATAAAAAATTACCAGTAAAAACTACTCCAATAAAAGCAGCTGGATGACAACTTCAACTTTTGAAGATATTCTTAAAGAATGGGATTCCTCATTAAAGAAGAAAATTTATTGTTTTGTGACAATGCATCTTGTCACAAAACAAAATTAACATTTAACAATATAAAATTAATTTTTTTAACAGCAAATACAACATCATTAATTCAACCTTTGGACATGGGTGCAATTAGATCCTTTAAATGTCATTATAGAAAGGGTATCATGAGAAAAATGATAACATTGATGGAAAGAAATGACACCACATCTTTTTATAAAAGATTTACATTTTATGTTAGCCTCTATCTTATAAAATTTGCATGGGGTGAGGTGACAAGTATAACAATCATAAATTGTTTTATTGAAGCTAAATTTTTTGATAAGTCTATGCCATTTGATTGGAAATCGGAGGATGATATAGCATTAACTGACAATGAAGAAGATGAATTTGATCCCATATTTGAAGAATATGCGTTACACGATGATGATGCTAGCTGCCATGGAATTTTAGATGATCAGGATATTTGTAATTAGATAAGATTAGAGTTGGAAGGTTTAATTACTTAAAATTTTAATTAATCTTATTTTTTATAGAAGGTTATGAAAGCTCCGAGAATGACGAAGGGAACCTAGAGATATCTGATCATTTAATTACAAAAATCAGGCTCTTAATGGTTATTATACTTTTCTTGAATATGCTCATGAACATCTAAGGGATCAAGATTCACTAAGAAAGCTAGAGAATATAGTGGAAAAAGAATTATTTACTCCAGAGTCTAGCCAAATTCTTATCAAAATATTTTTATTAAATCTTACATTACTTTATAATAATTGTAATGCATGTATAATAAAATTAGTTCAAATAAAATCTTATGTTAACAAAGCATTAATAAACTTTCATTCCAGCATGGTCTGTTAATACATTTACATTTATAATATTAGAATTCATAAGATTTGAATAGGCACAGGATTTTATATCAAATATCATGTGAATGAAAACAAAACACTTAATAAATTTAAATTCTTTTATATTAATCTTATTGTTTCCAGTTTTTTAGGCAAAATATTTTAAAATTTGGCTTTAATAATAAATTAGAATTTAAAAAGTGATAATATATTTGTAAAATTATATTTCAGTAAATTTAATGGAGGTAAAATGACAAAAGTAGTTAAAATTAATGGAAATAAATATTAGGGTATTGTAAAGGAAAAAATGTTATTATCTTTCACAAAAGCTTTTTTTTGCTTTAATTCTTACATATCTTAAATAAAAAATGAGATAAAATCAAGTAAACAAATTTAATTGAAATAATTTTATTCAATAAAAAATAATTTAATAATAACTATAATGCTAATACATAAATATAATACATAAATAATTACAATCATTTTATAATTGATCATTCTCTTGAGGAGATATGTTGATGGACACTTTTAACTGTAATTACCGCCATATTGTTGCAATAAATATAAATTAAATTTGTTTAGGTATGCTAATCAGTCACTCTCACGACTGTGGACGAACCTTTATTTTCTTAACAGGCGTCCAAGATTATTATAACAAGACGAAAGTCCAGATAATTTTAAAATGTTACTAACTACAAATAATTTCATTATTTATCAATGCATCGCTCTAATATTTTAAGTGTATATTGCATAGATTTAGTCACAATTAACGTATAATTCAAGGAAATTATTTATAATCACATGACCTGTTAGTGTTAACAAGTTATTAAAAACAATTTTTAATATGTTCTAACCCTAACCCATAATTTACAAACCTTTAATAAACCGTAACCCTTATCTTTCCAAACATTTAGCCTAGTTATTTGTTTAACTTTAAATATATTTTATCTAATTAAAAATTTTTTGTAGCAGATTTCTTGAGATATTATCAGTCACATTGTCTACCATTTTATAATTGGTATTTTGTCATAATATAATATTCAACATTTTTCACGCATGAAGTTTGAAGGGATTATTATAGACAAATGCTATAATGTAAGCTGCAATTTATACAATTTATATTAAAAAGAAATCGAGAAATTTAATTTATAATATTAAAAATTACATAATATATAAAACATATTAGTAAATAGTAAATATAGAGTATATTTGTGAACGCCGAGAGCAACCAATTCAATATATTAACAAATTGTCAGTTCTTATATATTGGATGATTATCATTCCATGTCCTATTAGCCATTATTATTTTTTTTAAATTTTTTATTCTATGGCTTGACAAGCTAAATCATTTTTAAAATTTTAATCCAATAACAAATTTTCAGGCTGTGGAAATAAATATGAATTTGATTTAAATTGGAAATTAAATCTAATATAGAGTATATTTGTGAACGCCGAGAGTAACCAATTCAATATATTAACAAATTGTCAGTTCTTATATATTGGATGATTATCATTCCATGTCCTATTAGCCATTATTATTTTTTTTAAATTTTTTATTCTATGGCTTGACAAGCTAAATCATTTTTAAAATTTTAATCCAATAACAAATTTTCAGGCTGTGGAAATAAATATGAATTTGATTTAAATTGGAAATTAAATCTAGATATTTATTTAAACAATAGTCAGATTATATTCTAAATAGAGATATGAATCCATAAATTTTTTATATTATTACAGTGTTTTGTAGATTTAATTATTTAAATATCTTATCAATTTTTACAAGTTTAATATTTTTATTTATAAATGAATTAAAAAATATGGATGTTTGAATTAAATCTTCCCAGCAATGTATATCTATTTTATCCTTTGTTTTTTTATTAGTTTTTATATTATATATTTAGATATGTTTAATATTATTAATTTTTAAACATAGTTAAAAACTATAATTTTTAACCATGATTTGAATTTAAAAAATTTTATTTTAAATAAAATCAAATAATAAGTAGTAAATGATTTATTATATGATTTTCAATAGATTAACTGATATAATTCAATTTTAATTTTTTTGGAAATCAACCTTGCCTTTATAATTTTTTAATCCCACTGCAGGACTCTGCTTGCAATAAATGGAATATTAAAAGTTTTGAGTATATTTATCTTTTGTATATCTACTCTATACTTTTAGATTTTTATCTGCATATATTCAAGGCATGTTCCAGGGGGTGCTAATGAGGAAATGTTCTATATGGGTGATTCCATGTCAAATTGACCAAAAATACGAGATTTCGGCCAACCATCTCAAAAATGAATGAAACTTGGCCTGTTAGTTATTATGTTGTAAATGTTAATAAAATCAAAATGTTAGATTGTTAGCTCAACCAGATCCAAAGATATATGCCTTCAAAGTCGAGAATCACGAAGTGCATTTAAATCTTGCTATTTAAAAAAATACTTAAGATAGAGTTACAAATTATATATCATTTTATAGCCCTTAAAATTTTACGTTGGAAAATATTTAAAAAAAATTAAAAAGTTTCAAGTGTTTTATTATTTCCATGTAAATAAAAAAATTAACATTGTTAGGAAGGGATTTTTTCGGGGTGTTAATATTCACTAAAAATGTTTATCACCCTTATATTAAATGATTTAATAAATCTCGATAGCCATTTTTGTTTTTTAATTTTATTTAAATTTTTATAAATAAAAAAATGTAATATAGATGGCGTTATCTTAATTTTTTTTATAATATATAATTTTTAATAAAAATATGAATAATATTGTGATTAAAATTAAAAAATAAATTGAGTATAACCAAGAATGATGTCCTGGGGCGATATGTAAGCAGGCAGCCCATACAGATATTATTTTATTGACGCTATATTGTAAAATAAACATATTTTAAAATTTTATATTCAATCAAACTATTATAATTTTGTGCTTATTAATAGCATAAGCCATAATTTGTAGTTATATCTTCATTGTTGTGGATCTACTATCGTTATTATTTGAAAATAACAATTTTATTAGCTTTTTTATTTTTTTATTCTTATCATCGCTACCAATCAATCATATATTTCAAAACTTAAACATTTTTTACAACCAAATGAATTTATGAAAATTTGTGATTTATCTGAAAATTGTGCATTTATAATCCAAGACACTGTTCAAGGATTCCACTGTAATCAAGCCACTATCCATCCTATGATAGCATATTATAATAATGGCAATATAGAAAACCTTAATTATATGGTAATATCAGAGTCACTTCAATATGATGTTATTGCAGTACATTTATACCAGACTAAAATGATAAAATGTTTGACCAATCAATTCAGCAAAAAGCCAAACAAAATATATTACTGCTCTGACGGATCAGCTGCACAATATAAAAACATAATTTTTTTTATAAATCTGTGTTATCATGAATCAGATTTTGGTGTAACAGGTGAATGGCATTTTTCAACTACATCTCATGGAAAAAGTCCATGTGACGGCCTTGGCGGAACATTAAAAAGATTAGCAGCACGTTCAAGCCTTCAGCGCATCAATTCTGCACACATTTTAATGCCAGTTGATTTATATCAGTTTGCAAAACAAAACATGCCATCACTAAATTATATATATATAAAACGAACAATACAATTTACAAGAAATTAAAATGAGAAAGATTCAATTTAGCTCGTCCCATTCCAGGAACTCGGGAAATACATGCTGTATTTCCTTTGAGTTTAAGTAAGCTTAAATCAAAAATATATTCACATGCAGAGGACTTTCAAATTAACAATATCTCAAATGCCGATATTTTGCAGATAATTTGTCTTTTGCCAATATTAAAAGATTCGTAACATGTGATTATGACGATTTTTGGTGGTTAGCCACAGTACTAAAAAAGAATGAAATTACTGAGGAGATATATATTTCCTTTTTATATCCCCATGGACCATCACCATCCTTTTTTTTTACCCCACAATTGAGGAAAAGATATGGTTACCCATTAATCAAATAATAACAATATTACAGTAACAGGACATACCTACAAATTATCGTCTCAAGAAATTCTATTAATAAGCACAAAATGGGATAAGATTAAAACAAGAGGTATTTATTTTTATATTGTTTGCGCTAAAATTTTAAAATATGTTTATTTTACAATATAACGTCCTAATAAAACCATATCTGTATGGGCTGCCTACTTACATATCGCCCCCGGACATCATTCTTGGTTATACTCAATTGATTTTTTAATTTTAATCACAATAATATTCATATTTTTTTAAAAATTATATATTATAAAAAAATTAATATAACGCCCTCTATATTACATTTTTTTATTTATAAAAATAATAAAATAAAATTAAAAAAACAAAAATGGCTATCGAGATTTTTTATTAAATCATTTAATATAAGGGTGATAAACATTTTTAGTGAATATTAACACCCCAAAAAAATCCCTTCCTAACAATGTTAATTTTTTATTTTTACCGGAAATAAGAAAACACTTATAATTTTTTTAAAATATTTTTCAACGTAAAATTTTAAAGGCTATAAAATGATATATAAATTGTAACTCTATCTTAAGTATTTTTTAAAATAACAAGATTTAATGAAATCATGCACTTCGCGATTTTCGACTTTGAAGGCGTATATCTTTGGATCTGGTTGAGCTAGTACTCTAAAATTTTGATTTTATTAACATTTACAACATAAATAACTAACATGCCAAGTTTCATTCATTTTTGAGATGGTCGGCCAAATCGCTGGTCGATTTGTCATGGAATTACCCATATACTCTATTGACAGCTTTTGGGGTGATAGTTTGATTTGATTTTCTTATTAATTTTATAAAGAGGGTAAAAATTATTTTTAGAGAATCTAAAAGTTATTCTGACCTTTTCTCTTTGCTTATATAACATCTAAAGAATGGGTCAAAGAAGAACCTTTAGAAAATATTATTATTCAATATTCTATAAGAACATTAAATCAGGAAACAATTAGAATATGTGACATGGGTAACATTGAATATTCCAGATTAAAAAATGCAAGGCCATAGAGATGAGATGATAGATCCTGTTTAAGAATTAAAATTTATAAAATGATGGCCTAAGGTAGAGATGCATTGATATCACCTGTTTAAAATAGATACCTGTACCAAAACCGATAACCAATCAAAAAAATTTTTTGATCTTTTTTTCTTCTCTTCTAGCTTTCTCTTTTATAAATTTATTAATTTAGGCAAAAAAATGTTTTATTTATGAAGGTTTAATATCATTTTAATTGACCACTTGTATCAATTAAAATCTAAAACCTGTTAATACCTACAGTGACCACCCAATAAAATTATAATATAAGCTACATAAAACTTAAGTCTATATTCCCAAATATATATGTAGCTCTATAAAATCTAACTATGCCAATTACTATAGTATTGAAAGAAGCTATTCTAGGCTAAAATTAATTAAAAGCTGTTTGAATGTAATTTATAAATTTTTTTTTAAAAATTGAACACAATTATTATTATCCATTAGATAAAAGGACTATCTAACTACATATATTTATAAAAATATTTAGGGTAAAGTTACAAGGTAAGGCATATTTATCAAAAGTACTGATTGTAGCTGAATTAGCTTAAAAAATTTGTATTCAAAGTTTTGCAATAAGAATGTGGATAATTTCAATAGTTTGATTCATTATTAAGTTTTTCTATGATTGGGTGTCTAAGAACAAATCTTCAGTAAACCTTGTTTCAGCACAGTCTCATTAGTTTTACCAATTAATTTTCAAACATATTGTAAAATATCCAATTGACTAATTATATTCAACATATTTTACAATATTCATACCAATCCTTCTTTTAATGATAAAATATAAATTTTTTATAAGTATAATATAAAATAATTTTTTAGGCTTTATAATACATTAATTTTTTGCCCCGTCTCCAAAATCAGGGCTTGGTCGAAGATTGAGGGCTTTATTAAAAAGAGATGTATTTTAAAAAATTCAGAAAACTGCAGAGGTCTAATTTTTTCCTACCTTCAAAGTGGGCTCATATTCTTGCCCTATCCAGTAGCGATTGGTAAAATCAACATTTTTATGCT